TTTTTTTAATGGAGTATCTAGTGCAAACTGTCTTCCATCGAACTACGCAACTCATGGATCGCTCGCTTCCGTGCTTTCAAAACTAGAGCAGTTTTGCTAAGACTTACCTAACGCTGTTCTGTCATCATGCCTGTAGAAAAAAAGTTTTGGGAAGTATTATTTCGTTCTTGTAAAAATGAATGTTTTGAAACTGATATCAAAAAACAAGGAAATGCATTCGTATTTTGCAGTTTTCACCACCAAGTTTCCATTGCCATATTTAAAATCAACCTTGAAAACTGAATCGACTAATGTGAGTTTTAGATTGTCCAAACAAGTATTAAATAATTTTGCTCGTGGTTTATTTTACAAACTCTTCCATAAAAATCATACAATTAATAATCTATATTTACCGTTGATTTTCGTTCGACTAGAAATATATGCTGTTTTACTCGCATCCTTCGTGACAGGCGAAAGAAGTTTATCCGCTCTCACGCGAATTAAAACAGATCTTAGAAATCGAATGAATGGTGCTCGATTTTAAATGTTAACAACGGATATAATTTGTAATAGATAAGATAAGACAAGATTTTATTTTACTCAAGAGTAGGATATCACAAAAAAGCATAAAAGACTTGTGGCATCCGTGGGTACCCTGTGATAATCTAAGGAATATGACAATTATTTTCAAGTGATTTTTTTTGGTGAAATGAAAAGAAATTGTTGTAGTAATGCTTTCAGAATGCAAGTGGAATAAAAATCCATTACAATATTTTAAGCTAAAACTATCGGAAAACACAAAATTAATTTTGTACAAATGGTGATCGAACACACGAACTTTGCTTTGCAGTAATTCCAAGACTAACTCTACTATTCTGTGTCTACATTCTGTACAATGACTGAAGTTACGCAACCAACTAGATATTTCCAGTGTAAAATTTTTCATTTGTTTTTTGTGAATCGGCATACGCGATATACAACTTACAGTTTTTGCTAGATCTGAAAATACGTCAGTATTATTTCAAAATACGAAATGAATAATCAATCAATTGAGCAAACGAATAATCAAAATTCCTCTGTTGATCATACTAGATGATTGCGATGTATTTAATTATTACAAGGTACAGTTTTTGTAATTAAAGCGCTAACATTAATCACACACTTTTAATGAAAGAATACTCGGCTGTCCTAAAATACCTTCTGTTCACAGAGGATAGTTTAAGATGTAGTTGTAATTTACTGTTTTTATTACAACTTGTGAAGCATAGTGTACTAACAGTGAATGATAAGGCATGTTTCATACGAACATTAAGGGGAGGGGGGTGCTCCCCATTTGGATTTTCCTCTAACGTTCCCAGTTTGTAGAGGATACTTCGAAGTATATGTCCTGAAGTTTTTTGGCTTACTGACATTATTTGGCTGAGAAAAAAATTAATTACTTAAAAATTAAGTGCGCAATTTAATACTAGAGCTCATCCAGATTCTTTTTTTTTGCATAATCCATTGTACAGGTCACATTTTTCAATTAAACAAATTTAGGTGACGTTCACGAAGCTTTGTATAACAGTAATCAGTTAATAGCTGTCACTACTATAAATGTTGATTATACAAATTTATTCTTTGGACAAAGATAGAAATTTGCGAAGCATAGTTGAGATTTCAAATAGTCAGATAGTTCGATATGGGCGCGGCGTACATTGCGATATGCTGGAAAAAAGTAGATGATAGTAGAGTGCGTCCATAAAATAAAAAAAAGCTAAAAATAAAGATGAGATTCGTTACGCACTGTTCCTTCTGTAATATTTTATGATTTTAATTAGACGTATATTATGACCACGTTCGGCTAAGTTCGTGTAACAGCTACAATAAATCCAGTAGGTCGTGAGACTGGGATTACTTCCTGAAAAGATAGGAATCTTTATCAGCATAGCTCTTGAGACTAGAGGAAAAAAATTTCAGCTTTAATTCATCCACAGCGGGTTTTGCGGTGATAAAGTTCTTTTAATTTAAGTTAACAGATTAACTTAGCCTCAATGAGATTCTTATAATAGTTTTTGGAATTTTTTTATAATTTGACAAACTCTTCGTTTTTTGCGCACGTTAGGTAAACAACAATGTACTGATGAAGATCATTGTGTTAATTTGGAATATAACGAATGTGACCTAAAGATGAATATCGTTGTTCAAGCGGTATGTGTATTCCGCGACCGTTGCAGCACAGTTAGTTGATTTTGAGTCAAATTATAACAATACAATTAAAAATGCTCGATCAAAGCCTTTTAATGCAATTTATGGGCTTCCATGCAATCGCGGTGAAATGTACGTAGAAGAATCAATAGACTTTGGACAAAGAATATTAAAGCATATCGATGACGTCGATTAAGGGCGTAATCCACTGGAATTAAAATTTTTGTTAGCCGAATATTATTCTTCTAATAGCAGATGTCGTACAGATTTTGATAATACCATTATGTACAACAGCGTCGAGAATATCTAGAGCGATTTCACATTATCTACCTTTGTTTTGTATATTATAATTTACAGTTGACTCAAAAACGAAGTAAAAGTAAAATCACATCGATTGAGATTAAAAAGCGAGTACTATTCTTCCTTAACAAGACTTTCTATAGTTTCATAACTTTTAGCAATCTAATTTGTACTTGTTTTTTGAGGTAAAGAACTGAATCGAAACTGTAATACTATCTATGGAAGGACTGAGGACAATAAAACTATTAAGAAGCTAAGAAGATTTAAAAAGATTAATTTTATTAATAGATATAAGATAATAAAATTGTTGTGCTAATACAAGATTGAACAATCTTATGTTAACACGTTTTATCTTCTTTTGGTACTTTTGATAATGAAAAATGTTTTTTCAAAACGTCGAATAAATAAATAATAAAGTAAAATAAAGTATGAATCTTAAAACAGATGCTGTTATTATCACAATAGATTTAAAAAGTTTCGTCAAAAAAATGGCTTATTAGTTTATCGATAAACATTCCACATTCCACAAGATCTTAATCATTCTTTCTTGGAGTTGTGACTGATGTAGTTGTTGATTTTCCATTTTCAGATAAATATTTACCACATCGATTTACGTTGAAGTATACACAAAATCAGACAAAGATGAATAGAGTAACAATTCCATAATTTTTTAGAACATAATTTTTTTCGTACATGTCGTACTGTGATTATGAAAAATTAATATTTGCTTCATGTATTGAAAAAGTTTATAATAAACTGCTGCTGGTAAAAATTAGTAAAAAAAATGTCTTCAAATTTGATCTTCATCAAGAATTGTGATCATGTAATATTTTAGTGAAACAACAGGAGAGAAGAAAGTTGGAATGATTGAACATCCATAGTGAACAAAAAATATGAATAAAAGTCAACTGGAATGGTTTTCCCCACAATGAGCATGTATAAGCGTTTTAACAGTACTTTCCTCCTCCCCTCTTTTTCGCAGAAAAGTTTTATTTTGAGCTGAACATAGTCTAGCCTAGAGGAAAGTCTGGGCTATAAAATGAGACCACTCCCAGCTCTCCATGACCTTCCTTGAAAAAATTATGAAGTTTTTCCTTCAAAGCCTAGAAAATCTCAATTTTTTAGGTTCGTAAATCTTGCTCTCCTTTCTATATTCAAAATTTTTTCTTATATATAGCATGATAGAAGAAAGTGTGCTCTTCTTGAGATATTTTCCAGAATTTTCCGATGAGTTTTCTTGGAAATATAAGCATAGCCGCAAATGCTCTGAAAAATAGAACTAGGTATGCACCGGTATCAGTATCCATACCGAAGTACCGATACCGAAAATACCGATACCAGAAATACCGAGCTTCGGTATATACCGATACCGAAAATACCGACTTTTTTCGATTTGGACTCTTTTGGATTTTTTCATCTGAAATGAGACAGTTTAGCGTCATGGACAGTCAGAACACAAAAAACATTCAGCTGGGTACTCTAAGCATGTGTAAGAACAACTTACATAGAAAATAAAGGAAAACCTTGGCCTTAGAAAGCAAACAAAACTCTTGTTTTGCATCTCTGATTCTTTCAGGGTGTCCAGGATGCTAAACTATGTCATTTCAGATGAAAAAATCTAAAAAAGTCCAAATAAAAAAAGTCGGTATTTTCGGTATCGGTATATACCGAAGTTCGGTATTTTCGGTATTCGATATATCGATACCGGTGCATATTAAATAGAACCCTGTGTATAATATATGTTTTTCTCACTATGCGTTTTTTCGATAGTCCCTTCTATCCAGTCATATTACGACCCCTCGAAAAAATGGTCCGATCAAGCTCAAAATTTTACCGCAGATACTTCAGACCCTATCTCAGGTTCTTTTTTCTAAAAATCGTTTCCAATTTCAACTTTCGGTGTGAGAAGGTTTTCAAAATAAAAAACCGGTTTTTTATATGCGATTTTCAGTATTTTTCGAATATCTCGAGAAGGAAAGAATATTTTTCGAAAAGAGAAAAAAATGAACCTGAGATAGGATCTGAAGTATCTGTGGTCAAATTTTGAGCTCGATCGGATCATTTTTTCGAGTCATAATGTGACTGAATGAAAACCGGAGTTTTCCAGAAAATCCATAGAAGAACAGGTCAGAAAATTCTGGGCAAAAATACTTCGCTTTTCTTTTTCGATGTTCTATCTCTGGTATGAATTTGAACCCGATCCGACATCGGCTTCCCCGGTTTCCAGGAGGTAAAAAACGAGGAGAGGGACCCTTAATATGTGTAAGACATAAGTTTGAGAAATGTAAAAACAAAATACATCAACATCTGATAATGATCATTAGCTTGCAGTATAATAATTTTTATTAGTTTAATGAAGTTTAATTATACTATTTATGACGATTTTATATTTGTTATTGAATCCTGCATGAAAATATAAATTCACACTTTCTTTTAGTAGTACAAATTTGAGATGACATAGTAGCATTTGTTGTATATAATTTTATTTGTTTTTGCACTAAAAAATAACAGCAAAAAAACAAGAAAACAACTTTCTACAAAGGCACCTGTAACGTGACAGCAGCATTATTCGTATGTTTCATATTTGATATAAACATCGAGTCACTATTTTTCTTTCGATTCACTACTTTTGTAGTTGACTCGAATAAAGTGTGTTGAGGTAGAATTTTTTCGATTGGTGACGATAAACAACTTGAAGATTCGAGAGATGTGTCAGAATTAATCGATATTGAACTAGATATTGAATTCAAACGATGTTTATTCATATTGTCTATATCAAAAGGTGAATAGATGGTTGTATTTGAATTGTCATGTGATAAAAATCGTGTTCGACGACACGAGGGTGGTGGTGCAGCACTTTCACCTTTTAGAATTGGATCAAGAAATGAAAAGTCCATTGGTTCAACGACCGTTGGTGGTGAGCAATAAGTGTTTGATAGATCAAGCGGATTTTGATTATCTTTGATTTTTAAATTATCATCGTTTTCAGTTGTCATAGACGTCGGAGATGGAGACTGTTTAGTGAACGATAAACGACGTTTTGGTTTCACAAATTGTTCAGTCGAATTATTATAACAATATATATTTTCGGATGATGGGGATTCACTTGACGATGCAGAATCATATAAAAAGATATTTGGTTGTTTTCTATCATCGGGTGTTTCAAGAACAATTTGAACATAAGAGTCGACGGGATCATTTGTGTTTTCAATCGCTTCTATTGGTGTAATTAAATCAAACGGAATCATTGAGGGCGAATTAGAACGAGGTGAGGGTATTTTTCCATCATAAATTGTGATTGAACGACGATGTTTTTGATCTTCATTTGACAGAGTTTGTTCACGATGGAAAGCCCGATTAAGTCGTGGAGAAACCGTAGGCGAAGGCTGTGAAGATTGAAGATAGAGTGAACCACAGTTGCCACTCATTTGAACTGATGGATCGAGATCACCGGCATACGATGCACGTCTTGCTGAACCAATTAAATAAGAAATATTAGCGGTGGCATTACGTACGACCGATGACGTTGAATCCAATAACAAGTTAATTGACGAATTTTTTCTCATCATACGAGGGTTAGTCGGGTCAGTGATATCTGAATATTGTGGATGGTGAAAAGGGTGACAATGGTTTCGCATCGATGCCGGATACGGACCATCGGATAACCGTCGTAGGAGCTGTTCATTCTAAATAACAAAAGAGAAATACTTGTTAGCTGATTTGTAATGATTGAACTGAATTCTATACGATTTTTTGCTCAAGAAAAGTCTAAACTATATTGTTTATTATATGCTTTTCACTAATTGAAATAGGGAACCTTATCATTATGAGTTTAGCTTCGGTTGATATTTAGGTTTATGGCGCTAATTGTTTAATTTAATCTCCCTCTGTTTCTTAAACTGAAAAAAACTGAATTTCAACTAGACTGCAATTTCACTACGCATAAGTTGCGATGTCGACAGACTCTGTATGTCTCAAACGCTTCGAAAACGAAATACTCTGCAGACAAATCCTATCCATCTGGCTTAATTAACTTCAGTAGTAATATGAAAGCTTTCTCGCAGTTTTTTTACAAAACAAATAACCATAAACCAACATTTGAAAGCAGAGTAAACGAGAAATGTTTCCTCCTTTGAAAAAAAGGCGGTGGAGAACAAGTATAAGAATTAACAAAATTCCATTTTCTTTTACATTAAATTTCTCTCGAAAAAATAGCGTCGGACAACTGAATATACGAAAAATTTCAGAGCCCAAAGTACTTTTTTCTGTCACTTGTGGCATCGAACCTGGATCGTTATTTGCGAGAAAAATGTGCATTAATCAATCTCCAATATTAATATATCAGCACACTTTCGCTACAAGCCAGCAGTAATTAGTGATCATCGTTCGGATGTGTTCTACTAAAAACATCTCGTTAGAGCAATTCAGTTTTTGGCGAACCTCTGCCTGCTTGGGCAGAGGTCTTAGTGAGAAAAGCTCAGTTTTTCTGAAAGGAAAAGACCGAGATATTCTGATGATAGCTTCTTGTCTGCAGGAGTCTGGGCTTTCCAAAACGATGCTTTCTAATACTGTATGGGAGATATTATTATTAGAGGAAAACGGTCTATAACCGCATATTTTGCCTAATAACAATTTACTAGATTTCTTCAACTTTTATCAATAAGTAAATATTACTAACAGAATCAACTACACAGATAACATACGTTTCAGGTATTTTCAAGGTTTTAAGTAGTCCAGAGTTGGAACAGGTCTAAAACTAAGAGGCCTGGTCGGTTCAAATCAGCAGACTGAACCGGACCGGCCGGCCTCAAAATCGTTTTAGAACGGCGAAAAACCGGCCGGTTTTCAGAAATTTCCTAGACTGGTGAAAAACTGTCATGGTGAAAATCTGTAAAAAATTCGGCCGATTAAGAACTTTTATCAGTAATACTAAATATCTTTAAGGGAAAAGTGTTTTTCACTATAATTATATAACATATAGCGCTCATAGCATATTGAACACTCTTTTTGTTACTATTTTTAGTCTTTGGCTACTGGTTTGTATATTAAAAATAATGCAGATTTAGTAAATATAAGTATTATTTACTATCCAAAGCGATGTTTCCCTCAGTAAAATGAAGATTTTTTACGGCGAGCTGTGCGTAGTGTATGTTACGTAAGTGATGCGTGTTTGGAACTACTGTCATAGTTGTATACATCGGAGTTTCTTCGTTAGATCCAGCATGTTCATATTATTAAGCTTTTATTTTCTGATTTCATGTCATGTCAAATATATTCTCAGTCAAATGACTAATTGGTTTTTAACTTATAGTCATAAGAAGAACTTTTTAAACTACTCGAGTGGGTATGTGTAGGAAGAGGATTTTATTGACATGTCTGTTCAATTTAAAAAAAAGTGGTTTTATATAATTGAGTGATAGAAGCAATGCTCTTTTTCTGAACACCATCTATTACTTGTCTTAGAAACAACAATTCATATTTGAAGATAGTACGATACTTGGGAAAAACTGTCAATGTTTAAGAGATAACTTTATCACACCCATAGAGATGAATGAAGTCGTTAATAGTCTTACATTAGAGTACGGCTACAAAATAAAAAGATTGTAAAAAAGAACTTATTTTAAGTTCTTTGAGATATAAAAACGTCGCGACGATAAACGAATTTTTCACTCACTTCAGTTTTTTTATCACATTTTAGTTCTTTAAAAATTAGTATTTCAAAAAAGGTGAAAAACACAAGTTTCCTTTTTTTAGACTTTTTAACGATCACGTAACGTAAAAAATAAACAGAAAACCTCGATCTTACTCAACGTTTTTAGGATTGTGCTGATCCTACTATACATACAAAGAGCATGACAGTTTGTTACAAATACCTGAAACTATTTTCAAAAACTTTAGTGATATTTACAAGAATGTACTCACTTCGAGATGGTATTTGTCTTTAACAATCCTAGATGAAACTGATCGAATAGTGTCAATTCAGAAACAGTTGATCAACTTCAATATTACCAACGACAATATCTTGACTGTATACTTACAGCATAAAAAATAAACTAATTTAGTCATATGTTAATTATACACGGTTAAAAAGACACCTAATTATTCGTTTATTAAAAAGTGTTCGCTCGATAAACATGCCAAAAAAAAACTGTTTACTTCAATTCAAGGCGTAAAATAGCGTGCATAAAAACTTCCACAAAACTACCTTTACAAGAAAAACATACCAATATGCTTGGGTAAAAACGATCACTAATAAACGTCTATTTCTGTCGATATTAAAATTATCGAATGCATGAAACTGTAAAGAAGAAAAATTAAACTTCACTGAAAAGATAGATAAAGAACAGAAAAGTGTTTTTCGACATGGTGTTTTCTAAAGAATAAATGTTGTCCATATAAATATCTGGTGAAATAAAAAGATCAATTTCAATTGAATATCCTTACTAGGCATTCACCAGTTAAAAACTGGTGTTAGGGCTTTCACAAAAATTGTTATAAGTCATCTATAAAGAATTACTCAGAGTCACAGAATCTCTCATTCTGTAGAGAAATGTTTGCTCTTGAAAACTTAACTGTGAAAAAAAATTTAAAGTTATTTTTAGCAAAAATGTGAGCATTCTAAATTGCAGTAATGTTAGAAAACAACCTGTTCGAACAGGTTTTTTTCTGAATTTAGTGCATTTTAGAATGCTCATATTTATATCACAGATAACGTTGAAAGTCTTCTACTTGTATGGAATTGTAGTCCAAACATTTCTCTTCAAAATGAGAGATTCCGCGAGTCTGAGTAATTCTTTATAGATGACTTATAACAATTTTTATAAAAGCCCTAACACCAGTGTTAACTGGTGCATGCCTAATTCTTACCTATTTTCAGAAAATTCGTATTAGATTTCTAGAGACAAATGAAAACACGTCTTTTGCTCTTCTCGAAGAACTTCTGTTTATCACCATATACAAAATCTTTATACGTTAATATTAAAATAAACTTAATATTAAGTTAAAGAACCATATAATGATGATGGTGTATCAATATAGTACAAGATATTTTTTCTCTACATGTTAAACACTTACTTTTTTTTATGAGCGTTCAGCTAGGGAAGTTATAGCACAATGTTTAAAGAATTATGTTAAGATTAAACTAAAGGTTTAATCTCAGGTTTCGAGTGTTTTACATACTCTATTATCGTACTGATAACAATAGTTTTCATTTTCGATGGACTAGTAAGATTTTAGAAGTTTATAATCAACGTAGAATGAATTTATCTGATCGAATTATACTGAAGTAACAATGAATTAATAGAAATGAAATATATATTCATATTATTCTGTTTTAATAGTATCATCTTTCTCGGTGTAATAAATAGTAGGAGAAATAAAATCCTCACCGTACATTTTTTTTGTGTTTTTTACTGTATGTTCATGCATAGAAGTGTATAAATAAATATATCTTTACTAGAGATTATAAATCCTCAAAAAACTAATTTCTCTCGTATCCTCTAAAAAACTGAAAACGAATAGAAACGTCTTACTTTAAGAAGAACAATTTTTCTTACTTCGTTAAAAAAAAAAGAAGACAGTCATCTGATGTAATTAGGACTCTAGACTACTTCTAAGTGAATTCGTGATTCTTTCAAACAGGAAAGAAAGTTAATACATCTTTCTATATAAATCAATGGGATATATGACATTGGTGTTCACAAAAAAAAACTAATTGCTTTCTCACTCTGCAGATGATAAAAACAAGGGCTCAAATAAGATTAACAGAAATATTCGCTCAAAAAAAGAAAAAAGAAAAGATTATTTTTAATAGTGTACAATTGATACAATATCATTCTAATACAACTGAAATTTTGACTAATTGAGTCTTTGTTGTAGAAATAATTTTTTTAAATGCATCGTTACAAGCAATAAAAGAGTTTTATCATATCATCTTTTAGAGTTAAATCCTTGACATTTTCTCCAGATATCGTATCACAGTGGGCATTTCTGACTTCGGCAGGCGAACATGTAATCTTTTTCATCAAAAACGCTTCTTGTTGCTCAGAAATGAATTTGTATTACTCAAAAATTTA